AGATGCTCGCTTCTTGCTTTATGGCACCGGATCCCTTGACCGAAGCGAATAGCCTCCATGATCCCAACTTGGAACACGTGTTGCAGGACAAAGAGAGGTTGTATCAGTACTTGTTCGGAGATTCCGTAAGAGGAAGCCACGCATATCAGTCCACTGCGGGGCCTTCAGGTGAGAATGAGTCTGAGCGGAGGAAGAGGGAGAAGGTAAGGAGAGAGAACAAAATGCCATGGATGGATGAGTACTGGGGAGTCCTTCAGCCAGAACCAATATACTCGAGGACTCAAAGATGGTACGTCATTGATGACTTCAAGGAGGGTGAGGAAATTTGCTGCGATTACTGCCTGGTCTGCAATCCCATAGACTCCGATTTGAAAGACGATTGCTATGCAGAATGTATCAACGGAGCAGCAAATAGATGCCGTGGGATGTCCGCAGAAGACTACGTCCAGAAGCGATTCCATGCGTGTGCGCGATTGCTTCACAACTTCGGCATGGGACAAACGGTATCCTCTCCCACCGTCATGATCTCCGAGATGAACCCGCACGAAGACCTGATGAGGTTCTTACACGAGGCGATGATCATACTTAATGAGAATCCAGGTTTCCAGAAGGAGATCTCGTTCTTCGGGGGGATCAGGTTGTCATCAACTATGACGGAGAACTTCTTCAAAACGAGGAGAGGGCCCAGCATCCATGTGGAAAAGCAGATAGTCGGCAGCGCCAAGTACTACCAGGGATCCTATGACCTTGGCAACGTGTGCTACACCAAATACCTCAAGACCATACTGGAGCCCGATGTATTCCGCAATATATTCGGAGATGATCCCACGGAGGAACGGGTAGGTGATATGGTGGAAGCGCTGCTGGGCATGTTAGAAATTGCTCAACTCTTCAGACACCTGTTCTTGGGATGGGGTGACATCGAAGCTTTGAGGACGGGATTAGAAGAATCCATCAAGCGCGTCACTGCATCGCTGTACGATAGGACAACGTATGAGAACCGAAAGCGATCGACGATCAGAACATTGGACCCGCACTCTGATGAGGCGGCAAACGTGGCACTGATTCTCGTTCGCATGAGGACCATGCCGCCTCCTGAATTCGACATCGACCACTTCTTCGAAATTGGGAAAGAACCAGAACAGGGAGCGGAGGCTACTGACCAGCCCGAGGCCGAAGGTGTCGATATGGAGACTGAATGTGAACAGGAGAAAGAGGAGCAAGACGCTGACATGTCCGATCCGAAGACATCAATACTGCAAGCCATCGACGAGTTCGAGAAGAAGATCGGGCAAGCAGAATTCTGCATCCACTGCATGAAGTCGGGACACACAACTCTCAATTGCGAGAAGACCCCTTCATCTTCACCTACGGTCACCTCAGTGTTGAGTGATTGGAAGAAGAGAGTGAAAGGGGAGGTTGCACCCGACGATGTACCATCTGGACATCCGACCGAAGAGCCTAAGAAGAAGAAGCAGAGAGCATCGCCTACTCCAGATAGGAAGGTCGACAGCGAGTTCAGGCGAAAAGAGATGTTGAAAGCAAGAGTCGTGACAATGTTCGACCACGACGGATTCACCTTGATCGAAAGTGCTGATGGAGTCGAAGGAGGGCCACATTCCTACAATGGGCGGAAGCTTGCGGAAGCAGGCCCTAGGGATATGAAAGTGGTGTACGAATTTGTAGAGAAGGCATTTGTGCACTCCAGTTCCCTCACACCAAAGGCATGTCATCACTTCTATCCCCTACCAACACGGAGGGAGAAGGGATACAAGCCGATCGACCCCATGACGATGATCGGGAAGGTAGAACTAGTACCGATCAACGGAGTCACTTTCGCTGCACAGAACTCCGACTACGGCAACCACAAGTATCCGACTCCAGACTGTCGAGTACCTGAATACAGCCAAGCGAGCCAGGCCCTGAGTCGCCGATTGGGAGCGAAGTTGAGGCATCGAATTGGACGCCAGTTCAGGACAGGAGGAAGACTCACACCAATCAAATGCGATGAAGGCGCATGGGTGTCATGGGAAGACCTGTTAGGTGATAACGCAGTTTGGGAAGACGGTTATCACTATGGCAACATAGACATCGTGACCAAGAAGGCGCGCTTGGAGAAGTACTTCGACCAGAACTATGAGTGTTTCCGCATAACCAAGAGGGTCAGATTCCAAATGCTGGCAGTCCGCGTTCACCCTGACGAACTCAATGACCCTGATGACCCGATGGAGAAAGAATGGATTGACGAACTCAAGGGCATGGGGATTACCAAAGGAAGACTCCACCATAGCGATGGATGGTGCTTTCCCGTGGCCGTAAGAGCAACCTCGGCACACTCAACGGATGGCGGAGGTTACGACGTTACCATTAACATCGACCACATTGGATCGAGAATGACCAACGACATGGCCCTATCTATGGTGACTGCATTTCACGCTACCAATCTTGGAGCGCTGACTTCAATCATGCGACGAGGGCTAGTGCCAGGAGGTCTCGGTTCATCGGGAAGGGATTCTACCCACTTCACATGTTTTCCGCCATGGGCCTGGGAGCAGGGCTACAAGGGAAAACCTTGGCTAGGTCGTAAGGTCGCATTGAGTGATCGCCCAGTGGTTCTCTACATTCCGGTGTGGAAGCTGCAGGAGTACGGACTTCTCATCTCAGCGACTGGATCTCTATTGGTTGAGAACGTCGTTCCCTTCGATGAGGTTAAAGGGGCATGGTTGCAATGCGACAATGCGGAACCCGGACAGCCTGAGGAGATCGAATGGATCCGGTTACTCAATAGGGAACCCGACCCTGGAAGCTACCTTGTTCTGGAGTCCAAATACGGAAACCCGATCATGACTCCACGCTACCAAAAGCTTGAGAGTTTAGCGGTTGAGGTTCAGGACGATACCTACTCCGAGGACGACGCCAAAATCTCAAAGCTGTTGGGCATGATCGAGGAGAGTGGTGTCTACCCAGAATATGATAGCACCGAGTGGCAGGAAATCTTTGAGGAGATCGTGTACCGCCGGGCAATGAAAGACTACGACTCGAGACCGTGTCCTAACTGTCTTGGCGAAGTCGATGTGCGATTGACGATATGTCCGCACTGCGTAGCGGTTTTGATCGCAAATGGGAAGCTCACGCATGTGGTACCCAAGGAGACAAGGGACCGCAATCGACGATCACCTCCGAAAGATGTCCCAGCCAGTTCTTCCGGTGAAACAACTTCTGCTGCAGGTGCAAACATCGATGAAGTCATCAAGAACGCACGCAAGACAGCCGAAGAGGTCATTGAGGTCGAGGAATCCGAAGGAGAGGAAGAGGAGGAAGTTCCTATCATTTTGAAGGAACGACCGGACGAAGTTGGAGGCGAACCCGAATATCGGGAGGTCCCTCAAGATGGATACGGGAATGAACTTCCACAACCTTTCCCCTTCGCAATTGACGAATTGCCGCAAGAAGCTGCGATCCCCATCGACCACAACTTTGCCGTCACACAGCAATTTGATTTGAGGTTGATGAAGTTGATCAAGAGCTTGGCCAACGCAACATTCGACATCAACTGCTTTGAAAGTCGTGAAGATGTACTGCGGATGTTCGACGACGGGCAGCGGCACGATACTCCGCACAATAGATGGCCGATAGTACCGAATGATCCGGATACTGGGTTTCCAAGACGTCTCCAGAGAGCCGAGGTCGTAGGCATGAGCAGATGGACCGACGACGCGTATGCAACAGAAGCGTGGCAGATCTATGAATTCCACGCCCACGTTGTTCACCCGATGATGATCACTGCAATCCGCTGCGGGCTTAGCCACAAATACCTCAAAGAGGTCGGCAGCACTCGGCGTGACATGAGTGATCCAAAGGCTCGAAAGTCTGAGACCCAGGATGAGATCATCGAGAAACTGGCGTTCATCTCAAACTTCATCAGACGTTTGATTAAGAAGACCTTCGGGGCGAGCCGATATAGTTACTACCAGAAACCAGATGACGAAAGTGCCGCTCCGTACAAATTCATTGACATTATAGTCCTGCCATCAAATCGGAGAGGAGGAATGTCACGAAGGAGATCCTCGTTGCATGCCGCTACTATGGCATAGAGGTATCCGATGTCCAGGAAAAGAAATTGAAGTCCTTCGAGGAGCAGATCCGAAGGGGAAACCCAAGGAACGTTGAGCTCATCAAGGACTACATTGGCTTTGTCGGCGCTGACTACATGCGACAAATCACGAATGGTTGAGCATTGGGGTCATACCGACATGCCACTTCCGGTACTTCAAGTACTGAGGGATCTTGGGTAATTCATGATGACCGTTTGGCATCATGGGAGTGAGAGAGGATTGTGTTTCACACCGTTGGTAATCGCATGATACCATAGGTAGGTGCACGTTTTCCGCTTGTAGCTCCATTGCCTGTTTGATCCAACTTTCAAGCGAATGCAAGATCGTTTGCTAATTCAGCTCAATAGGACATACTGGTTGACCTCCAATGCACTTTTGAGAACGTGATTCGTTCTCCGGTTTTTACATCCGCTCATCTCCCTTCCCCGTCGAAGCACGGATGTGGGGGGTGTCAATAGGGATGAGGTCCCAGTATAGTTGCTATACAGGTACATGCCATATACTTTTGGCTCAAGTGCCCAACCAGGTAAAAAGGAGCTTTAGCGCGCGAGCTTCATGTCAACCTAAGAGCTAGAACGGGGCCAGGGCACACCTTTCCATCCGTTCGCATTAACTATGCAACACTATGCAACATATTTCTGCCTGTTCATATCTTTTCATCTACATAACCAGCCCAAAGGTAGACATGTTGCATATAGTTGCATAGATCCAGGATCTGATTTGCTGTGTGTTTTTGTTTCAATCCATCTCGGGTCATATGCGTGGGTTGTATGTCCACTGCAAAAACAGGAATCGCTGCCTAAGGACTCCACTGATCGCCATCGAAACGGCCCAGCCCCGAACAGCGGTCCGGATCCACTCTCCAACGGCCGGTTCGTCCCTCAGGCAGCCCTTGCTGCGGCCGGGCGGCGAACGACGGAGCCAAGCACTCCAAGCGGTGGAGGCGAGGGGCGGAGGGGCAGAGGGACAGAGAATGACACATGAAGAGTGGAATGAAACATAGGGAGCGGCCACGGATCTTCCCATGGAGGCCAGGACCCCCTAAGATGGAGGGGAGCGAACCAAACCCCATAACACCCCATGGTTTTGAGATGTTTTCGAGGGGCCGGGACCTGAGCGTTTGGGGTATTTGGAAAATGGATGTTGCTGAGTGGCGGTGTTTGCCCCAATGATGCAGGACTTCCGGACGGTGGATTGAAGTCGATCGATCTTTCCTTTGCGATCAATGCGGAGAATCGATCGAGCTTCTAGGTTGTTGGGTTGCGCGGACTCGTGGATGAAAGCCATCTAAGCGGGCCACGCTGAGGGTCAAAGACAAAAACAAAGACAAACATGGCAAGCAAACTTCCATTTTATTTCGAATCAAGCAAATGTTGTCCTTTTTACTTCTAGGGTATAATACATGCTTGCTACTTGACGATTGAAGTTCAGAATCACATCATATTGTGTGTGTGTTCGCTACATGCGAACGAACAGGTGGCGCTGCGGAATGGCGCGTCGCCCAACAGCTGGAAAGGCGCGAAAAGCCGAGCTCGGCATCGCTTTTTCATCGTCCGCACCACCCGAAGGGGCAATGGATTCCTGGAAGGGAAACATACAGCATTACAGCATACATATCATTTCGAGAAGGTAGATCTATATACCTTCTTAGAGATCTTCCAACTGGAAATGTTGCATAATTGGATCTAACAGAGAGAGAGAGAGAGACGGAGAAGAAAAAGAAAACAGGAAGAATAATGTCTCTTTTTGATTAACAAAAGCGGCATCTTCTCACTGATCCACCCTTCTCGGCCAGGCCCCGGCTCACCCTTGCAATCTGCTGTCCAAGCGAGAGCTCCAGATCTGGTGGGCTGCCTCTTAAAAGCTCATGCAGATCCAGGTGGCGACGCGCTCGCGACGCGCACTTCCTCGCGCTCTGCCATCGGAAGTCTTTGGCCGAGATGTGGAAGGTCAACAGGATGCAGGTCAAAGGATGTGATATTTGATGAATCATGTCAATGACATGACTTGACTTATGACTTCAACAGTGTTCAGTTCACCTCCGTCGCACATGTCGCACCTCGTTCACCACGTGGTGCGATCGGATCTCGCACCAGACGACCAGGTGAAATCGACGCTCACGGGGTCTCCTGCGCAGCCGGTGGCGGCTGGGAGTTGATGTTGTGGAGGTTGGAGAAAACCATCGTAGGAACCGTTGGGAGGTGAGATGAGGTGAGTTTGGTTGCCCCCTTCCCTCAGAACCAGGTCTTTGGACTCTGCAGCGGAGGTAGCTGCACTGGTAGCGTAGCGGGCTAACAAGGTAGGTGGTGGTAGCGAACACGAAGCGAGCCCACCCAACCAAGGATCGCAATGATCCGGAGCACCTTTTCTCAAGTGCCGTCGAAAGGCCTCCTAGGCCTGTGTAGCCACCATGGCTGGGTTCCAGCCGAACGATCCGTGGATCAAAAGGGGGCCCCCTGGTTTGGGCCATATGCAAATGAAGAAAACATGGTGGCACCTGATACATGTCCCAAAGCTGCACCAGGACAAAAGGAAGTCAGGTGATCACCATGTGCCTCACTCAGAAGCTCGTGACCTGGTAGGTCTCTGGCAATGATTGCAAGCTCCATGAACTTGCCCTGCATGGACTCCCAGAAGTCGTGGTGTCCTTCATCACCTAGCGAGTCATCCATGTGGGCCACTGCGGACTTGCCAGCTTTCTTGTTCTTCTTGGCTGCCACGAAGTTGTGGTCGAATGCCACTGACCACCGCCAAATGGTCATGAACTTTTCCAAGCTGACACGACTGTCCGGCCGCTTCTTTGTTAGGCCGTCGGCCAAGTCGTAATCAGATGCCACCCATCTGAGCTCGCAGCCAACACGGTCCAGGTTGTCTCTCAATTGAAATGCCTGAAGGGCGGACCGAAAGTTGGATAGCCCCAACAACGGGGACTCGTTGACCTCTATTGCGTCGAACCCTCCTCTCGAATCCGTACACAGGATTCCACGCACTTCCAACACTTGCTTCTCCACCGCCTGCACCAGACCAGTGCGATCGAGTTGAGGTCGTCGACCGCCGGTGTGAAGGTCTGTCCAAAGCACTCTCACTCGAAAGTTCTGGTCCTCGGCCTCTAAGATGCTCTGGACTTCAGCGTCATTTGATCCAATGCTTTTCCGTCGCAGCTTCCAGCTCCTCCAGCTCAGCAGGCACATAGGAGTGACCTGGCCAGAAAGACACGCAGGGCCTGCGGCCATCGTCAGCATTCCTCCTGTGCTGTCACCCTTTGGCCTGTTTGCGTGTGCTTGGTCGCCCATGGAGATGAAGACGATGTCATTCCATTTCTTGGCGCCGTCCAAGGGGAAGAAGCGCAAGTGAGAGGGTTGTCGCCGGACTTCACCAACCATAGCTTGGATCTCTCTTGCTTCAGACAAGGTGCCATTCACCGTGACTTCAGTGAGCAGGATGTTGCACCGAGAGCAAAGGAGAGGCTGAGTCTGAATGGCGAGCCATTGAAGACCTCCAAGGGTTGTGCGACAAGCAGCCACTTCTCGTGGTGTGAGCTTTCCTTCCTGCCGAAGTCTTTCAGCAGGTATGTCCAGGTCCGGCAGTGCCTCCACATAGGCATCTTGATGCACAGTCACCATGAACTTGCCGTCCTTATAGGGCTTGGTGCGAACATCAGTGCCTGCATGCCTGTAGTCACGACGGCGAGCAGTGCCCCACTTGTATGCAGCATCGATGCGAGTGCATATCTCTCGCCACTCCTGGGAGGTGTTGTCACCAATACGGTTGAAGTCGTCGACGTGTCCTCCCATGCATCCCAGCAACTTGGGATATCTGCCAGTGACATCTGTCTCGGTGGTCGAAAACCATGCCCACATTGAGCGCTCTCCAAGAACAGCTTGACCACCCAGCTTGACCAGAGTGCGATGAAGGTCCAGCCAAAGACCACGCGGAGCGGTGGTACTGCCGTAAATGTTTCGAAGAACTTTGAGGATGCCTTCTTGACCCACTCCCAAGGCCTCACGAAGCTCAGCCACACCTGTCGTCCAGAGATTGGCATCTGCTTCAGTGGGTTGAGTTTGCAGGAACGCTGTGGCCAAATCTAGGCCTTCCAATTCCCATTGATGATGGCTGGCAAGCAGGTAGATGATGTTGCGACCAATCATGGAAGTGACAGGAGCCGATGTCTTGAAGGAGCGATCGAGGAGGCTGGGATGTTGGAAGCCCAACAAAACGATCCTAGCCTTGGCTTTTCGCTTGGCATCTGGCGTCACGGTTGTGCAGGGGTTGTTGGCCAAGTCATCCAAGGCTTCTTGACGTTCCTCCTCCGGGATGGCTTTCCATACAAGGATCCATCTGGCCTTCAGGATGCGGTTGCTGTCATAGGCCTGCTTGATCTCCTCTGATGAGAGACATTTCCTCACCGCCTCATTCTTGATGAAGCTTGAGACTTCTTTGTTCTTGGCATGAGTGAAGAGTCGTTGCAAGGCCGGTGTCAACTTGGACATGTTGACCTCAGAGGAGTTCATCTTTTTGATCATGTAGGCCACAGGATTTCTCTCAAGGAACTTGCGTTGACGATGTGATGTGGCCTCTACCTCAAAGGTGACAGTCAGGATGTCCTCATTCTCCTTCACGAGTTGGTCCAAGCTGAAGGCTTGTTCCTCAAGAGCTGCATCATCTTGCAGCTTTTCCACCCATGAGAGATGTAGTAGATCATCTTCTTCACCACGAGCTCTCTTGGATGCGGGTTCTTGAGCAGTGTCTGGCTCTGTGGGCTCGTATTCATTGACCGACACCTCATCATCTCCCAGTCCAGGAGGATGTTGATCATCTCCTGCGCCAAGTCCAGACGCAGCAGGTCCAGGAAGTCCAGAGTCAAGACCTGCCGAAGAGCTGGGCCTCGAGTCCAAAGGCCGATCAAATCCAAGAGTACGATGCTCTTCTTTTCAAGTCCAAGTGGAGATGATCGATGAACCACACGATAGTCTTCGGGTGCCAGTGTTGACTTGGTGGTCTGACGCCTGATAGGAGCATATGTGGTGGAATCAGGATGCCAAGGAAGATTGGGATGTTCTGGCTCGTTCTCGGCAGGAATCTCATCAGTGAGATCCTGGTACTCTTTCTTTGGCATGATGTCGGCCAGAGTCTTCCATTGGCTGATGTCTTCCTTGGATGTCACCTCCCATCGAAGACGTTCAGGTTCAGTGACAGGACGAACACTCAGAGCTGAGCAGCGAAAGAGTTTGCCCTGCATGAGAACCCACACCACATGCCTTCGGTGATCTTGAGGATCTTGATGTGGCAATGCCTCGGAGAAGATGACCCGTCCAGGGCCGATCCATCCAGGTCTCTGACTTTTCCTCCTTCCACCACGTGGTCCTTCAAGTTCAGGAGGAGCTCGACGCCAGATCTTCACAAGATCGGTGCACTTGTAGTCTCTGAGAGGTTGCCGTGCCTTGGAATTTGAGAGCCTCATCAAGATGCGTCCAGCTCGATGTTTGCGAGCGACTTGTTCAGCCTGATGTCGGGCTGACACCAGTTTGGAGTATGACAGTTTGTCCTTGATCTGGTTGAAGGTCATGTAGTCCTCATCCAGCAGGCTGTGGTCCTTGCCGAAGGCCCATTGATGTGAAGTGTAGCCGGAGACATATTCAGTGGAGTTCAAGGCAGACGCAGCTAGCACCAAAGTGACCATTGGGTCCTGATCCATGGCCTCCAGCTGAATTCCAGATGCTGTATGTTTCAGATCCTTGATGGCATGTTCAACCACGCCATGACTCCAGGCCTCTTTCTCGGCAGGGAAGTTGACGACAATGCCATTGTCTTGACAGAACTTGGTGAACTCTTCGGACCCAAATGCCCTGCCATTGTCTGGGATGAGCTGCAAGGGTTTGGGATAGTGAGTCAACCATCCCTCGCAAAAGGCCTTGATGACCTGTTGTGCAGTCTCAGTCTTCATGACGAGGAGCTCAAAGGGAGGCATCACCGGGACGACCACTCGAAGCTTGGTGGCCATGTCCAGCATCAACAGTCCCTTCACTTTCTTCTTTTGTCCAGGCACCGTCCAGTCGAAGACATCTATGCCGACGGTGGTCCAGGCTTGAGGTAGTTCATGAGTTGCTGCTGGTGGCACTCCTCCAGAGCTTGAGCCGCCAGGCTTCAGGGACTCACATGCTGGGCATTTGAAGTTCTCAGCGATGCGAATCTTCCAGAGAGGTTGGCCTGAATCTCGAAGAAGTCGGACTGTGTTGCGAACAGTTGGATGGCCAGCTGCCTTGTGGTAGTGAGCAATGCGGGCAGTCCATCTCTCTGCTTCTTGTCTGGATGGAGGCAATGCCATGGCTTCGGACTGAGATGCCGATGACGGAGCTGCTATGGCCTGATCTTCCTCTGGATCTTCCGCATTCTCAGCAGCCATGATGTCATTCTCATCGATGAAGTCCAGGGAGTTCACATCCTCCTTGGCCATGATGTAGCGAGATCGCTGTGCATTCACCATCTGTGACTTCCAGAAGCGGCTGATGGCTTCGACCATTTTCCATGGGTAGAAGGCTGACCGGCTTGTCTCCTGTCCGGTAATATTCACATGCTGATGGATGGAGCAGCACGTTTTTGCCTTGAAGCGGCTCCAGAAGCCTTCGTCCGTGGTGTTGATTCGCCACTTCTTGTGAATGAAGCCAGTGCCATCGATGGACTTGAGGTCATAGCGACATCCATCTATGCGGCATTGCTGCCAGGGAATGCACTGTTCTTCCATATATGCCTGTAGATCTTGGAGTGCTCGTTGATGCCAACCAAGACATTCTTTTGGCCATTCCCAGTAGATGAAGGTCTCGGGGTCCTCCTCCAAGGTGTCCTTGATGAAGCGTGCAGCATAGCCAAGCATGCGACGTTCTCGACGACGATAGCCTTCCAACAGCTCTTGTCTTTCTGGACCTTGGTAGTTCAAACGGGTCCAGGGGCACCACTTGGTGCAAGGGAGTGAGAACCACAATCTCTTCGGACGTTTCACCTTTCTCTCATGCGCCAGCCGCTCCCAAGTGGCAGGTTGATAGAGATCATAGCCTTGGTGAAGATTGACCCTTTTGCAGTGCAGTCCTTGGCGTTCCGACGCCTTGGTGAGCCAGCTGTCAGGAGCGCAAGCAAACTCCCACA